GCAAGGTTCGCTACTAGGAACAAGGTGCATCGCTTCTAGTAGCAAGGGCCGCTGGGCCTTCGTCTTCCCGCCATTTCAGACTCCAGGAGTTGGCCATTCTAGCACAAGCCTTCCAGCGCTACGATGGAGTGTCTTAGTCGCATGATCCACCTCAGGCTGACTTTACTTCCACTTGGCTCCGTCTCAGTCACAGGGATGAGGTCCTTGGGAAGCCTTTTGGCTAAAGGTTTTTTCCAAGCCGAAACCAGCCCTGCTCATTTCCTCATTTTCCTCTTTAGTTCAGACATGTGCTCAGCGCGTCACCAAGGATGGCAGTGGAGCATTGGATGCTACCGAGCTGCAAAGGGCTCTTCAAGACCTGGATTTGCCTGCAGGAGATGTGGAGGTGCAGCGCTTTTTTGGGTATGCATGGCCCCGAGCAGAACCTGACCCAGCTTGTGCGCTGAAAGCTGGTTGAGAGGTTGATAGTTGATTGCAACATATTGTGAAAACAAACCATCTATGATTTTGGATCATTTTGATTGATATCCCTCTTGCTCATGTCAAAACAAACAATGTGTGTAGGACACAGAGCTCTCTTGACGTTGCCCTGTAGGTCTCAGAACTTTTCTCGAAGCTGGATGTGAACAAGGCGGGAGGTGGCAACTTGCCCAGAATATGGACCTGGACTGGTCTCCACGTGTTGAGAAGCCTTTTAAACATCCAGCATGTCGATATGCGCGCGAATCACTTAGAAAAGCTTGTTGGGAGGCACTACTAACCACAGACGATGCTGGCAGGATGGCACTGTAGAGCTCACTGAATGGCTGGACCACATGCCTGCCGGTACAAAGCTCAAGGTTCTTCAGAAGGCAGCTGGGGAAACTCAAAGGCATAGTACAGTGCGAGGTATGATGTGCGAGGCATTGATAGGCAAAGATCAAAGGGACAGTGGAGTGCAGTTGCCAGAGAATGACACGCAGTCTTGACATGATTGAAGTTTTTCAAGCTTTAGTTTCAATTGGCTTTTATCGCAGAAACACAATGTTCAATATAGCTCTACTGAGTAAGAGTATGAGTAATTTGCCATGACTAAGAATCTTCTATTGTTTTTGATATCAGAAGCCTTTGATACGGGACAAAGAAGACGCTTCTTGGGCTTTTTGTTTGTTCGTCATATGGCCAGTACTCGCAGGCAGATGAAGCCGGAAGGACCATTCGCTTTGAAATCCCTGATGTGGCACGTCTAGTGACTATAGATTTCTGAAGGTTCAAAGAGTCACTTCCAGACCTAAGGCCTAAGGCCTTTTAAAAGCGCTTTTGTTCAAGATGCTTTTTAAAAAGACATTTACTGTAAAGGGGACCTCATTAAACAGGCCCTTCCTCTTTTGTTTTCCTTTATTTTTCTTCAGCATTTGTGTTTGTAGGACCGGAAGTCGGTTACTAGGAGCGGTCTTGTTTGTGGTGATAAGGGGGGCCAAGAGGAAAGGCTGGAAGCATCAGTGTAAAACAAGCACATTTGTGCTAGCCGCTAGCCATTTTGTGTTTGTTTGTTATTTTCTTGAACGGCACCAGGGTTTGTGTGACTGCAAACATACTTTGGAGAAGGAATCCAGATGAACCACTGGCCAAGCTGGCAAATAGATTCCAGCTCTAGTGATGGTCCTGTGATGGTGCACTCAGGTGAAGATCATGTATACCCACACTGATGAAGCGCCCATGTTGGCAACCTACTCACTGCTGCCGGTCTTGCGTGCATATTGTCGCTTCGCAGGAGTCAAGATCATGAAGAAAGCGCCCTGGTATGTCGAGGGCACTGTAACTGTAGCTTGCGGTTGCAAAGCAACTATCCAAGTTTTCTTTTTGCATATTAACTCCCTTGGCGGAAGCGAAACTTTGCAGTTT